TCTAAATTAAGTTGGAAAAAAAAGTTAAAACCGTCAAGAAAAAAAGGTAAAAAGCTAATTGACTAGTTAAAAAGTAACGTTAAAAAGATAATAAGCCTAGTTAACAATTATATTTAGGTTTATAAGCTAAAAAATTGAAGTGCCAGAATCTAATGTTATGTTGTACCAAAAATAAAAAAATAAAAAAAGTGTTTCTTTCACCACTCTCAGAGCGTTTTTCATGAATTTCTTAGATGCACTTTTATTATTTATTTTTATATATTCGGGCAAGTTGGTGTTTCTTGTTATTACATTGACAATTTCTGCCACCAAAATATCTGTATTTTTTAATCTTACAAAGGTAATAAAGCCTTGTCTTGGATTCCAATAACACTATTGGCTTGATAATTTGATTTTCAAAGTATTTCACTGAGTGCTCTATAAAGGGTTAATGGAAAATATAAGTCAGGTCTAAAATCTGATAACATGTCTATGGAAGAGGATTAGGGCCACTGAAAAAGTAAACAAAAATTAACTTATCTTTGGGAAGAAAGTCAGAATTCTGAGTTTTATCTCAGAATTCTGACAGAATTCTGACAACTAACAAAGATGTTAGCATCAAGCCATAGCCATGTCTGTTTAAGAGACTAAACTAGCTCTCTTGTTTTAATCACCTTCTGCTCTTCCATTCATGAAATAGCATCACAGGGGACCCCTCATGTAAAAAGCTGCCTAATTTAATCATTTTCAACCAATGTGTTACTGGCCCTCCCAAACAATTCACATCTTTGTCAGTGAGGCTGAGTGCTCCCACATCTCCTTCATGTTGCCCTTTAAGATTAAGATCCAAAATTCTGAGATTAAAGTCAGAATTCTGAGGAAAAAAGTCAGAATTCTGAGAAAAAAGACAGAATTCTGACTTTTTTTTTTGACTAAGTCTTAGACAGATTTATTTTGTACACACAAGTGTAAACAAAAAGAAATTTCGTTAAGAACAGCTCTCTAAACAATTTCATTTTTTAAAAGTGCAGCCTTGAAAACAGTAAAAAAATAGATAAAAACAGCAAAATAAACATATGACTGTATATTTACATTTCTAACATTTCAGTTTTTTCCCATATTGAACTGAAATAATATGTAAAAATCAGTTAA